GATGCTGGAAAGGGAAAAAAAACCCTTCCTCTCAGCCGGGGTGGCAGCAGCAAGTGTAGCAGAGCAGGAGCCAAGGCWGGAGTCCTCTGCTCTTYCTGCCTGTGGAGGTTTGCTCTGACACAGAAATCTCGAGGTTTTGTCACTGTTGGATCCTTTTTAACAGCACCCACCCAGCTGTAATTTGTAGGTGGTGTTGAATTCCAGCAGCCTGGGCAKCCCAGACACCCAGAAACCAGCGACTCAGCCCAGGGAAGCTCGATTTTGTCTTTATTTCCCACAGAATTGGAAGGAAATTGAGTTTTGTTGCCCCAGCCCCCTGGCAGGGCCAGGCTGTGTGCACAGGGAGGATCACAGGAGGATCACATGGCTGTAGGATGGGATGGGATGGGATGCAGAGGGGCTCATGGCTCAGTGCCAGCCCCTCCAGTGACAGCGCTGCAGGCTCTATCGACAGCCATCGACAGGCACGCACACTGCTTGCCAAATATTTATGTGGGAAGGGCTCCCCTGGGCTGCAGGGCTGAGCTGCAGATCGATCTCGTCCTCCTCCTGCTGTGTCCCCTCCCTGCTCACCCTCTGGCCTGGGGATTTGGGGTTTGGCAGGGCCGTTATGGGGCTGTGTGTCCCCGGGGTGGGGGGAGCAGCACATCCCGGTGATTCTGTGATCCTGGCTCCTGCAGGATCTGCCCCTGTGCTCCTAAAATCGTTCAGGGCTGGTTATTCTGGTCTGAGGGAGCTGTCGTGGGGTGGTGGCAGGGCTGGGGGTGAGTATGACCAGCCAGAATGCAGCTCTGGGGTAGAAATGTCACTTGGTCACAGTGCTCAGTCACCTGGTGAGGGAGGAGCAGCACATCCCGGTGATTCCATGATCCTGGCTCCTGCAGGATCTGTCCCTGTGCTCCTGAAATAATTCAGGGCTGGTTATTCTGGTCTGAGGAAGCTGCAGTGGGGTGGTGGCAGGGCTGGGGGTGGGTGTGACCACCCAGAACGCAGCTCTGGGGTGGGGTAACGTCACTTGGTCACTGCTCAGTCCCTCACCACATGGTGAACACCCAGCCCTGCCACCACCCCACGACAGCTCCCTCAGACCAGAATAACCAGCCCTGAACGATTTTAGGAGCACAGGGACAGATCCTGCAGGAGCCAGGATCACGGAATCACCATGTGCTGAGGGACCGAGCACTGCTGCTACAATGTGGCTGGAACCTGACAGCTCGGCCAGTGCAGGGAAGGCTTTGATGGTGCTGGGGATAAACTTGGGAACTCGTAAAATGGGCAGGAGGAGCCAGGGAATGGGTGGCCAGTCATCGTTCCGGTCTCCACCACCCTTCCCAGTTTCCTCCTTTCTCTGGAAGTCTGGGAACAGCTCCACGCCCCTTTTCACCCCCAGCTTGTCCAGATGGCTGCAGCAGCTCTATCCTGCAGGAATGATTCCCCAGCTCCATCCTGCAGGAATGATTCCCCAATTCCATCCTGCAGGAATGATTCCCCAATTCCATCCCCATCTCCATCCTGCAGGAATGATTCCCCAATTCCATCCTGCAGGAATGATTCCCCAATTCCATCCCCATCTCCATCCTGCAGGAATGATTCCCCAATTCCATCCTGCAGGAATGATTCCCCAATTCCATCCCCATCTCCATCCTGCAGGAATGATTCCCCAATTCCATCCTGCAGGAATGATTCCCCAATTCCATCCCCATCTCCATCCTGCAGGAATGATTCCCCAATTCCATCCTGCAGGAATGATTCCCCAATTCCACCCTGCAGGAATGATCCCCCTGCTCCACCCTGCAGGAATGATTCCCCATTCCACCCTGCAGGAATGATTCCCCAATTCCATCCTGCAGGAATGATTCCCCAATTCCATCCTGCAGGAATGATTCCCCAATTCCACCCTGCAGGAATGATCCCCCTGCTCCACCCTGCAGGAATGATCCCCCTGCTCCACCCTGCAGGAATGATTCCCCCTGCTCCACCCTGCAGGAATGATCCCCCAGTTCCATCCCAATTCCATCCTGCAGGAATGATTCCCCAATTCCACCCTGCAGGAATGATTCCCCTGCTCCATCCCCGGCTCCATCCCTCAGGAATGATACCCCTGCTCCATCCTGCATGAATGATTCCTCATTCCACCCTGCAGGAATGATTCCCCATTCCACCCTGCAGGAATGATTTCCCAGCTCCATCCCCAGCTCTATCCCTCAGGAATGATCCCCAGCCCCATCCTGGGGAAGATGTACCAGCACTGTCCACCCCTGGGCGTGCTCTCTGTCCCCCAGGAGCTCTGGTCCGTGCAGGGAAGGCTCTGGTTCCCAATCCTGTTCAATTGCCATGGAGCAGCGTTGCAAACCCCGCTGTGCCGGCCGCCTGCGCTGCTCCTGCCCATCCATCAAGGAATTAACCTGACAGATGGGGAATGGCCGCCACGGAGGGGAGGGGAGGGCTTGGGGGGTTTGGGGTTGTGTGGGGAGGGGAACGGGTGAAGTGAGGGGTTGTGGGTGGGGGTGAAGTGGCCCCACTGTGGCTCATCCATGGTTCTTACAGCGGTTCCTGGAAGCGTCAGGGAAGGCGTGGGCCTGATCCTGCTGGTGGGGTGGGAAAGGGTTCCCTGCCTCCATCACCTTCCCCAGTTTCTTCCTGCCTCCATCACCATTCCCAATTTGCCCTGTCTCCACCACTTTTCCCAGTGTGCTCATTTCCACCATCTTTCCCTGTTTGACCATCTCCACCACCTTTCCTAGTCTGCCCTGTCCCCACGTTTCCCAGCTTCCCCCTGTCTCCACCACCTTTCCCACTTCCCTCCTGTCTCCTTCACCTTTCCCAGTTGGCTCCCATCTCTGTCACCACTCCCAGGATGCCCGTTTCCACCATCTTTCACAGTCTGCCCATCTCCACCACCTTCTCCAGTTTGCCCATCTCCATCACCATTCCCAGTTTGCCCATCTCCATCACCATTCCCAGTTTGCCATCTCCATCACCATTCCCAGTTTGCCCATCTCCACCACCATTCCCAGTTTGCCCATCTCCACCACCATTCCCAGTTTGCCCATCTCCATCACCATTCCCAGTTTGCCATGTCCATCACCTTTCCCAGTTTGCCATCTCCATCACCATTCCCAGTTTGCCATCTCCATCACCTTTCCCAGTTTGCTCATCTCCATCATCTTTCCCAGTTTGCCCATCTCCACCCCCAGTTTGCCCATCTCCATCACCATTCCCAGTTTGCTGTCTCCATCACCATTCCCAGTTTGCCCATCTCCATCACCATTCCCAGTTTGCTGTCTCCATCACCATTCCCAGTTTGCCCATCTCCACCACCATTCCCAGTTTGCTGTCTCCATCACCATTCCCAGTTTGCCCATCTCCACCACCTTTCCCAGCTCCCTCCTCCTCTTGTCCCAGACCCCCAGATTTCCTCTCCCCTCACCTCCCAGCTGCTGGGCTCCCCTTTTTTTCTCCTTTCTCCTTCAATTTTTTTTAAATTTTGTTTTTTTCTCGAGAGCATCTGTAACTAATGCGAGCGCATGCCGGAGCCGGGGAGTAAAACCCTACAGGATTAGCGTGGCACCCGCAGCCCTGCCACGTCCTAATCCCGTGCTAATCCCCCTCCCGGCCCTCCCCCCCGCCTTTGCCCATTGTTTAAGGGAAGCAAATGGGATCGTTAGCGGGCAGACCCYAAGGAAGTCCGAGCCATTTCCTTCCCCGCCCTCCTGGGTGTTTTGGGATGCTCCTGGTGCTCCCTGTGGCCGAGCTGGTGAATTTGGGGGATGCCCCCAGCATCCCATATCCAGCTTTTCCTCTGCTGTGCAGCCTCACCCTTGKGGGATCTCCATATGGGGTCAGTTTGGAAAGGGGTGGCAGGTACAGGACACATTTCCTACAACGGATTTGGGATGTGAGGGCATTTTTTTGATGTCATTCCAAGGAGCTGAGTAAAGAAGGGAGAGCTGCTGAGCTGGCACCTTCCTCCAGGGTGGGTTATCCCTTGTGCCTTCARGCAAAAWAMWA